TTAAATTTTTTTACTTACTGTTAATTGATCTTAACTTATATGTTTAACATGATATCATAATCAATATTTTTTTTATTATCTTTTCCAAATCTATAATGTAATAAGTTTTTTATATCTCTACCTACACGTGATGGGACTTATTAGTATGATATTATCAAATATTTAATAAATATCTAATTTTCTGTAATCTTATATTCATGTTAGGTTACTTTTTTTTGCTGTTAATTGATTTTAAGTTTAATGGTTAACATGACTTATATTTCATATGTCAAAATCATTTCAAATGGTTCTTTCTTTATTTTTTCACAATTGATTTACTCTTAATTTTTTTCAATTTCTTTATTTTTGATTTTATCTCTTTTAGTTTGACTACACATCATTATAAGTATTTTCATCTTAATTATGCTCATCATCTTTTTTATTGTTTTTTTAACAACTCAACATTCAATTCTATATAATAATGTAGATCTTATAATTATTTTATATAATTTTGTATTTAATTTTAAATACATATTATGATCATATGATACATTTGATATATTTCATCATTTTACTTATGAGTTTTATAATTTATATCATTTTCTATCTTAATATTGGTCTAAATAATTATTAATATAATGAACTTTTCTTGTTAAGTTTGATGAGTTTATTTTATTATTTTTAAAGAATTTTGTCGATAAATAACATTTAAAAGGATGTGATTTTTTTTAAAGAAAAGTTATTTATACAAAAGTATATTTGTAATTATCTTTTGGAATGTAAAATGTTTATTCTTATAAAAAAGATAATTCTATATAATAATCTTTCTACTTATAATTAACATTAATAATTATAAAGAATCAAAATGGTAATAAAAAATAGTTTTTTTCTTTATTGAAAAATAAAATAAACCATTAACAAGGTAAAATAATTTTATAGTCCACGCGCCATGAGTGGAGCATTTGGAAAAAGGTTAATGAGTGATGACAATCGACAAATGGGTTCCTGATTCCTAATTACAAGAATTAAGAGAAGGGTGAAAGATAGTTTAAACACTTAAATATGTTTGATGTACAAATAACGTGGCAATGGGTCATGATGTAAACAGAGATTTTGTTAAAAATAGGGCCACCACCCAGTCACGCGGGGCCCACCCCATATCTAAATTATAAAATTTCCGTTGCTCTTTATCATCTTCGATTTCATTTTTCCACCGTAGGCCTTATGTAGTAGAAGTACTGCTACTACTGGCTAACAATATTATTTAAAAATTAATTAATTTATTAATTATAAAAAATTCAAGAAAGAAAGTATAAACTATAAATGGAGTGAATAATATTAATTTTTTAACGAAATAAAATACTATTCGTATGGATTGTGATTTCATTTTATTCTTATCACTCCTCAATCCACTAATAACAATTATTATTTTATTTTATGAAAGTCTCTACCTTATATTTTATCAGGGGAAAATGATCTTATATTTTTTTTAAAATTCTAAAAATATATATTATATTTAATAATTAAAGATTGTATGGTGACTTTATAAATTAAGATCACCCTTATTTCGTGAAGACGTAATTTTAAAAATCAAAATTGTGAGAGCAGACTTTTAATTTTAAAATGGACACTATCTTATAATAAACGTAAACTAATAATTTTTTTAGTTTTAAAATATTTGTTATGTATTAATTTGTACAAAATTTAAGAAAAATATTAACTTTAATTTATTTAATATTAAATTAAAATTTATGATTTTTAATGTCAAAAAATAATATAAAATTTAAAATTTAAAATATAAAAAAGAAGAGTTTTTGATGTTAAAAGAATATAATTTTGAGATATCTAAAAAAATAAACAAAAAATATTTTTTAAAATTGTAATTATAATTAAATATTATATTCATCAATTAATTATTACATTATAATCAAATTACAATAACTGAATAATTAACAAATAAATTAAAAATAGTTAGATAATTAAATTCACACATAATAAAATTTAAATTTAAGATCTCAAAATTTGTAAGACCTCTTATTTTTTTTAGTCAAAACCTCATTTGCAATCATGTTTATTGTTATATCAACCAATTTATTAATCTTCAACTCTTTAATTTAATGGTTAAAAAGTTTTTTAAAAAATTATAAAAATTTGGATTTTGAACCAAAATATTTTCTCTTTTGCCATGAACTATGCTTTTCTAACATCTATGTACAAAAAGAAAAAACTATAGAAGACTCTATCTAATTGCATAATTCAACCATTTAATTATATACTTTTCAAATAACCAAAAATAAGTAAACACTTTCCCAGTATTTTGTATCCATCTCATACCAGAAACAGCATTGAGGTTTCATTCTCAATTCCCATTTTGTTGTCAAGTCCAAATGCCGTGTTGGAATGAAAAAAAAAAAAAAAAAAAAACTTTTGCTTTCTCTCTTTAGAAAAAACTTTAGACGAAATTGTTGACCAAGAAAACTACACTCATCAGCAGGGACAGTAACAGGATAAAGCTGAAAGGTAAAGATCTAACCCGCCCTGTTTAATAGTTAATTAAAAACAATTCCATTAATCTCTTAAAGTCTCGTTGTCAAAACAATAAGACTTTGCGAACCCAAACCTGAAATTTTGTCATCTAACTATGGCAAGGAATGAATAAGGCCTCTCATTTTCAGCAGCAGCAGCCTAATTATGAACAGTAAAATATTCATTAATTCATTTGAATAATTTTGAATTAAATTCTTAAAAATTAAATTAATTAAATTAAATTAATTTTTATTTTTATTAATCAAATTAAATTTATTAATTTTAAAAATTAATTAATTTAATTTATTTCAATCAATAATTAATTTTTTATTAATCAAATAATAAATTTATTTAAATTAAAATTCAAAATTAAATTTTTTAAGTTTATATGTTAAACAAATTAAATAAAATTATTTAATAAAAATTCAATTATCAAAATATTATCTTAAAAACTTTAACAATTTATGAAATAAAATGATACATATCATATATTTTTGTTTTATATTTAAAATTTATTATATTTTGATTAAATTTTCAATTAATTTAATTTTTGAATCAAATTAATTAAAAATATAAAGTTTTTTAAAATTATTTTTGTTAGCTTATTAAATTTGATTAATCAAATTAATTGATCAAAATAAATTAATTCAATCAAATTATTTCATTAAAGTCGAATTATAAATATTCTTATAAATTGTTCATAATTTGAAGGTGATGGGTGTAGAATCTGTAGATTAGCATGGGCGCGTTGGATTGGAGTTAGGAGTTTGGACAATTGAATTCTTTTTCCGGTCTGGCTGTCCAAAAGTGCCCCGCAAATGTAAACAACTGAGGCAGAGGGTGATTGGTAGGAAGAAGGGTCCATTTGAACATTTAGGAAAAGTACGCATGCGCGTGCATGGTCCATCAATGTCTAGCTCTTGCGAGGCAGTCAATAATGGAACACAAAAGCGTTCAAGGACGGGTGGGGTCTAGGACTGTGGAGATTAGGCCGAAATGGCCAAATAGCGAGCCAGGCAAAGAACAAGATGAAGCCACAGAGTCGTCAGCCATCATCTTCCCCCGCCACTTGTTGGCGCAAATTGTTGTTTGCTCAGTAGACACAATGCTTACTGCCTCCATTATGTTCTTTAATTGTTCTCCCCGTCCGTTATATTTTGTTGGCTTTACAATTAAGTTTATAGTAATAGTAATTGTAAAGTTTGCCATGCCTAATGAAAAGGAACTGTTTCGATTTAGTAATCTATTCAACGTTGACCAATTTGGGAAAATGTGTTTATTTTATTTGATATGCTTACCTGGTTGAGAGAAAAACAAATCACAAGTACCAAAATTGAGATGCGAATCCTATGACAGACGACAAATATTTAGCCAAATAATTTGAAGAAAAAAATAATAAAGGGTTATGTGGCAAGATGATATGGATCATGATCGGTAAACTTTTTTCGAGACCATGGTCACGATCAATTAGACAAGTCATGTGAATCACCAATCCCCTGAACGTTAAACTTGGTGATTCAAAATGATTAGCACAATGTTTTTCTACTACTTATACCTTAAAATTAATGATGCCCACATTTTTCTGAAAAGAAGTGTTTTATAATCCGGTGTGGGCCTTGCGATTTGTTCCCTTCCCTTGCTTTTTGAAAAAGAGCATAAATGGGAGGTTTGAAAGTGTGGGATTTGTGAATTTGTGTATTGGAATTAGGAAAAGGGCAGGCATTTAAAGATGGGTTCTTTCATGATTCTTTTCCTACTTCAAGTTTGGTCCACATCAAAGGCTTTTTCAGTGGCTATTCTCAGGTATTACCTGTAAATCGTTACATTTACACTTTTTTTTCTATAATTTACTCATCATATAACATTACTTTTGATTCAAAAACTAGAAAAAATTTATATACATCAACTCATATTGTAATTAAATATTTTAATTTTTACCAACTTTTTATTAATATAATAAAATTTTAAATCAATAATTGTTATTAAATTATAAGTCAAACTCGAACATGAAAGAAAGAATATTTAACGTGTATAAATTTGGAGTTTCAAATTTTAAGTCAATATTTTAAATTTGAGCTAAATCTTTATTTTGGCTGAATTCCGTTTAATTACATTCATGTGAGGTATTGCTTGTGCAGGAGTACTAGAAGCAGAACCCCTAAGCATGAGAACAGTACCTGCAAATAATAGGGACAGGCCCATGAATTGATTAGGAATCTAAGATATAGGTCCTGCACCGTTGCCCATTTTGAGTGTTAAGTCTCGGTCCAGACAAATTTAGCCTAATTGAATTGTGGCCCATTTTTTGGTTAAGGTTGGGCCATAACCAAACCGTGAAACGAGAACTGGTTAACAAGCCCACGACTAAAACTTTAGTCGGTTAACGCGGCCCTAAATGGAGGGGGAAAAAAATAATAAAAAAGAACTTGACCGACGGTTTTGACTTCGGCACTTGGTAGAGTCCACAGCGGGACCGACAGTTGTCAGTTCATCCACTCAGTAAAGCGCCACATGTGAAATAGTCAACGTCTCTCCTTGAAGACTTGGCGTGGCGGTAAATTGACTGCAAATCAGCACGCCTGTTTGCTTCTGCTTTCAGGTTCTGTTTGTCAAACGGATTACTTTCCCTCAAATACCCCCCTTGCTCTCTACGCTTCCATAATCTTGGACTCTCCCACCAACAAAAAAAAAAAAAAAAAACTGAAAACTCAGATCTCCGCCATGGCAGTGGCCTCTGCCGCCGCAGACAGGATCGATCTGCCTAGGCCGCCCATGGATCCTTCTTTTTCTAAACTAGCTTCGGACGTTGTTTCTGATTCTTCTACTTCGCCAAACGGATCGTCTCCCACCAACACGCCCGATCGCAATGATCCTTCCAATTGTTCGCCCAACCCTAGTTACAAAGACGTCGAAATTCAGGTTCCTTTTTCAATTACTCTCTAATTAACTAAATTCTTTTATCTGCCTCGTTTACAAAAGTTAGGAAAACAAGCGAGAAAGTAGATTAGTATTCTGTTTGGAAGTTAATTTTGCTAATTCTTGATGATTATGTACGAGTTCTAAAAAATTATCATTATTTAGGCATATTTACTTTCATAAAACATTATCTTTTTCTTTTGAAAGGCAAGCCATAAAATTTTCTATTATTAGAAATCTCTTGAAGTTTTCTTGTTTTCATGGTTAAATTCGGAAATTAGACACTGAAAGTTTTGAATGGATTTGGCATTCTTTGTAGATAAGGACCATCTCGATTAAGCCTTTAAGTGCCAACTTTCAGGTAAAAGTATAGTAATAGTCTATAAAGCTATAAGTTGTGGGCATTTTAAGTCCTAATCTGTGGCATGTTATAGTTCCCCTGTAATTCAGTGCTAAACTTAGTGCGTGCCACTTGGCCATGTGGATATTGGTTAATGCGAGAAATTGTTGGCTAGTGAAATTGAATTATAGTTGCGAGTGAGCTCATGGTAAGTAACAAATAATTTGTCAAGGTAGCTTGAAAATAAATGTGGAATATTGTTTGATTGGTGTTCAGGAAAAGAGAAACATAATTTATAAATATTTTGATCTAACAAGAGATGGAAAAGAGGATGATCTATCAGAAGTTTTAATCAATGTAGTTAACCTAAACTGATTAGATTAAGTAGGTATGGTGATTTAATATTCTATTAAGTGTTTCCAAAAATAAGTAACTAAATGCATTGAAAAAGAATTGTTAAATTATTGAGAACTTAGTTTTCAATCTAGCACTATGGCTAAATTTGAGGCTTTTGAATTACAGTCTCCGGCAGCATTGAGGAGTGAAGAATACCGCCAACTTTTTAGGCTTCCACTTGAAGAGGTGAGTGTCTTTAATCTGTCACGATTGCTAGCTGTTAGTAATTCTTTACTTGTCTCCTTTATTTTTTGTTTTGACGGATTGTAAATCCAAGAATTGTTTTCATGATTGATGTGAAAGTAATACTGCCAATTTGTATTTAAGATGTTTTGGGTGCTTAAACATTCATGTATAACACTCACCAACCTATGATTTTTTTTTTGGTCAAAGGTTTGAAAATGCTTGTCCATGCTTTCTATCCTATTTTAGATTCTAAATATTACTATTGTTATCTTTAAACATTTTAAAAACATTTTCTATTTGAAGTTTAAAGAAGTGCGTGTTTTTTAGTCGTTAGTCTATTCATGATTACCAGGCCTCAGCAATTCTCCAATTGTTTTTGTTTTTGTTTTTTCAGTCTTTGTTCTGTAAATGAATGCATTCTTTCTCATGATTAATGTGAAAGAGGTAATGACAGATGATTGCATTTAAGGAATGTCAGGCATCTAAACATTCATGTAGCATGGATGTTCTCGTATCTTTTTATTTTACTTTTGGCCATAGATTTTAAAATACTTGTTATTTAAATTGTTATCTGAAATTTCTCACACTAGCTTACGTTTTTAGACTTCTAATGATATGGTAATTTTTAAACATTTTCTTTTGCCCTTTGCTGCAGTTCCTTGTTCAAGATTTCAATTGTGCATTCCAGGAGAGTATTCTTCTTCAGGTAATCTACTTCTTTACAATGACCTTTACTGCCTTGAAGTTAAATGCTTTACTTAGATGATTTCTTTACTCTGCTGCATCTAGTAGTTTTTTTTTTTTTGCTAGGCACATAACCTTACCTTCCTTTTTTCAATCTGTGGGAGGTGTTAGGAGGGGTGGGTGTGGGGGGCAGCAGTTATATTCTTTGAGTATTTGGTGGCTCTATGTCTAATTATGTTCCTTTCTATAATTATAATGCATTATATGCTTTTTGCAGGGTCACATGTACCTGTTTGCTCGTTATATTTGCTTTTATTCAAATATATTTGGATTTGAAACAAAGGTATTCCTCAAACATTGGTTTTATTCTTAGTTTGTTTTCCTGTGTCCTGTTTTCTGGGCAGCTCCTTTAAGTTTTTTTAATGATATTATCTTGGAATATTTTATGGGTTTCATCTGCAGAAAATAATCCCTTTCAATGAAGTAACAAGTGTTAAAAGAGCAAAGACAGCAGGAATCTTTCCTAATGCAATAGAAATCTTTGCTGGAGGAAAGAAGGTAGTAGTACTTGGCATGCATATTTCTTCTATGTGCTTGTTTAAGTTTGCATGCGTTAGTTCTTCTGTCTGACTCTACTTGTTGATTTGGCAGTACTTCTTTGCATCATTTCTATCACGTGATGAAGCATTCAAGCTCATTAATGATATATGGGTGCAGCATGGTAATGGAGCACAAGAAATTACAGAACAACAGGTATCTTAATATTTCACAGCTTATCCATTGAAAAAAGATTTCATAGCTTATCCATAAAAAAAAAAATGTTTTATAGCCTATGAGTAGCATTGAAGAGGATTGTTCTACATCTTAGCATAGACAACTCATTAGGTATGCAATAAATGTTGACCAAGTTTTTTGATACCCCTTCTCGATACAGAGCATACATGCACATCATAAATGTGAACAAATGATTTGTCGCTACTTGTGCTTCATTTAGAGGTATTTTATATCATATGCTGATTTTGTAATCTTATTCTTTATCTGCATGTAAGAATTTTGGGAGATTTTCCATTTCATTCAATAAAATTTAAGACATTTTTCTCAGTTGAAATGTTGTTAAAACTTTGAGGTTCATAGCTTAGAGCTAATTGTGTATTTTTCCCCATTGCTTTTATTCTTATACCAGTTGCCTTTTTTTTTTTTTGTAGGAATCCATATCTGAGTGCAGCAGCCAAGAGAATGGCTTTGTTGCAATTGAAAAGGTTAATAGCACCAAAGACCCAATAAATGACATGGTATCTACAGACAGGTATTCTTTATGAACAGAATGGTCTGGAGAACTTCTGTATTTTTTTTTTTTTTTTTATGGATGTGAAATTGTTAATAACTTATTTTAAGTGCATTTTTTATACAGGGATGAGGATGTTCCCACTTCTAGTGATTCTAAGGTTCCATCCTGTTCTGAAACTGATACAGAAGTAGGTCCTGAAACAGTTATAAATAACGGGTCAACAGCATCAACACATACTTATTCCTGGAAGCCAGAGAATTGTGACGCACCTAAGGGTTAGTTAATCTTGTTTTGAATTGCGACTTTCTCATGTTCTGCATATTATCTCATTTCAAGTTCATCATTTCTAGTTGTGGTTGTCTGATGTATTTCTTTTTCACACTTGCTACATATCAAGTTCCTTGATTATTTGGGAACTTGATTATGTTTTGAATATTTCTAGTCTTATGACTCCAGACTAGCTATTTGGGTGATCTTGAAATAGGACTATGATGTGTCATGGGTGGGATAAGAGAGAGAGAAATAGGGGAAATGTCAAAGGATAGATAACTAGAGTGAGAAATAGGCTGAAAATATGAAGAAACAAAGAATCAGGGGGTAAATGATAATAATAGGGGAAGAAAGAAAGAGAACGAGAGAAATAGGAAAAGGTGAGAGAATAGATAAGTAGAGTGAGAAATAGGCTGAAAATATGAAGAAACAAAGTATCAGGGGGTAAAGGAGAATATTAGAGGAAAGAAGAAAGAGAACTCGAGAGAGAAGAATCTGGGAGAAATTGCCATCCAGTAGTAAATCAATATGTCAATAATTCCAAAAGCTCCTTAGAAGATGGCTAACTTAATTTTTTATGCTTTAAAATAAACCCTATATATACCAAATATAACCCTAAATACACTAATAAAGGTGGTTACATATCAACTTATTATGAGGCCAAGGGAAGTCACATCTTAACTTGTGCTGGAGGTTTAAGTGAACATAATGCATAGATTATGGAAGCTCATCATTTCTTGTAGAAATGGGTGGAATCATCATTCATTTTGTTGGCAGACGAGGGTACATGGTGGCAAGAGAAGGTAGGTGGTTTAAATTTAGGTTTTGTACTTAAATGCATTTTTGGGCTTTGCCACTAGGAAAATTTTCAAGTGTGGGACAGACACAGACAGGAGGTCATATATTATCCACCTTCTTCTGTACTGAGTGGTGATATATTGCATCCAGTTATAATCTCATTGTTATATATGATACTACACTTTCATTTTTGTATATGTCATGATAATCTATGCCCTTTTTTTTTTTGTTATGCAGTTGCTGAATGTTTTAACAAGGTTGCAGAAACAAAGTTTCCGGTAGCAAATTGCGAACTCATTTCCCTTAAGATCTACTATTGTAAAATATTTATAACATCAGTCTCTTCTTTATTTATTCTGAAGTCAATAATGTTTCTTGGGCTGCAGATTAAGGTAGAGGAGTTCTTCAATTTGTATTTTTCAGATAATGCTGTTAACTTCATTGAATCTTTTCATAGAAGGTGTGGAGATAAAGGTAGTCTGCTCTGAACTTTCAAGGAATTATAATTTCCAAATTTGTGTTTTTAGTTTATGTTCATAGTTAATATTTTGATAATATCATATCATAGAAGTGATTACTTTTTTTGTACATATGCCTTTATGTTTAATACATAGTTGCCTTACAGAATTCAGGTGCTCTTCATGGTGCCCTAATGACAAATTTGGACATGTCCGTGATGTGTCATTTCAACATCCAATAAAAATATACTTTGGTATGATTTTTTTTTATTATATGTCAACCTTTTGTCCCAGCATTATTATCCATGCTAAGATTAGAATTATTTCATATAATTGTTATAATTAATTAAATACTTTTTAAAATGAGGACAAGGATAATCGAAATGGTACAAGAAGATATTTTTTCTTTGTTTTGTGACCGATTTAATATCGGTTTAAGTGTAAAGTCAATTTAATGCTGTCTTGACTGGGTTTCATTTAGCATTAACCGTTTTTGTTTTGATCCAGGTGCAAAATTTGGTAGCTGCCAGGAGGCCCAGAAATTCCGAATTTACAGAAACAGGTTGTTGATATTTTCTTGTGGTGCCTTACATGCTATTATATAGTTGAAGACACTGTTAATTTATTATTATTTCTCATTTTGAAAGTATGCACCATTGAAATGAACCTATATCTCTTGATATGTTGGATAGTCCAAAACTATGTATGAGATTTAATGTGGGTAGGTTAGTGAGAAACATTATTGTTGTAATTGATGCATTGAACTATTAAACTATTGGTGTTTCTAGTTAATATTCTAAAACAAAAAACTTTTCTGAGTATTATTTTTCTATCCTAACATTTCACTAAGTGGTTGATTGTTGATTTTTCCATTCATTTAAACACAATACTCTAACTGGGAATAGACATTAACTCATAATTCTTTGTTTGGCTTGCTCTGCCTTTTTTTTCTCCTTGATTGGGTCTAACTTGTTGCTCTTTTCTTCTTATTCTTGTATATATCCTGACAATATCACTCACTTCGGACAGTCATTTGGTAATGGAAACATCACAAGAGATCAATGATGTACCGTATGGAGATTATTTCCGTGTAGAGGTATGAGCTAGAGCTAAGCCCCTTTGACATTCTTTAATGTGTAAAGTGTACTCCATTCCCTAGTTTGTTGCTTTTAGGCATAAATATCCTGCTATTCCTTGAGAAGATTATGGGTCAGAATTTTCAGAAATAGAGGCTAATTGCACTCTAGCCCTTCAAATTGAGAACTAATAACAAAAGCATGATGTCATGTCTACATCTTGTTGGTCTATTTATGTGCAATATTGGAGACAATTCATCTATTTTGTTTCAAGAAGTTCAGGTCGGTAATCTGTCTTGAGCCCAAATTTCGCTTGCCAAGTTTGGGCAGTGTGCTAAATCAAATCATGGTTTTAAAAATAATTGATAATCAGTGGGATTTAGCATGTAAGGTTTTTAGCCAGCACAAATGAAAATTTGATTTTTTCATCACTCTTTACCTTAAAATTCTTCATATTGCGGGTATGTATTATGGAAAGTGGAAGAGAGGGTACAGAAGTCCCCTTTCTCTGTTTAAGTTAAAATAACATGATAAATCTTGTGAAGATGCTGAATATCAAGACTTCTAAGCGGTGGGAAAAGGTCATAGACATCATTTCTGCAATCAGTTGTTCTGAAAGCTTATCCTTGTTTTATGCAATAATAATATGTTTCTATTCTGTTTGTGAATTGTGATGCTTTTTTTGCAGTCGAAATATTTCTGATATGTGCTTGAATTTGCTATGTATTATATCAGGGGCTTTGGGATGTAGAAAAAGACATTGATGGCCCACAAGAAGGCTGCATTTTGAGGGTTTATGTTAATCTGGCTTTTAGCAAGAGAACTGTTTGGAAAGGTTTGCCTCTGCTGAATGCTGATGAATCTCTTGTTTGTAGTGTGTTTTATGCATTTTTTGTGCTTTGTATTTTGATTTTCTGAGTTTCTCTTGTTGTGGTTCCTGTTACAAATACTCCCATTTTCATGTCTCATATTATAATTGTGTCTGAAATTTTATTTAACTTCACTTTAAATTAATTTAGGGGAGTGCCAAAAAGATATTTCCCTTTAGAATGAAATAGATTATTTATTGGTTGTGGAGGAAGGAATTATTTGAGAAGAAATAGGGAAAGGATTTTGAACAGTTGCAAGATCTTTTTGTGTTACATCTAAATTGTTTTGAACTTGTCAATTTGACAATCCTTCATACTTGGAAGATGAGCTCCAAAGGATTTGTGGTGTTCTTTTTCTTGAATAGCTTATTAAGTGGACCTTTTACTTTTATATTAATGATTATATTTCTTGTTCCTCTTCCTTCATCTGATGCGGAGCACTTGGTACAGGGAAAATAGTGCAGTCTACTCTGGAAGAATGTCGAGAAGCATATGCAACGTGGATAGACATGGTATTATCTCTCTTTTTTTTTTTTTTAAATGTTTATGTTGTAAAGTTTGAACATTCATCTAAAAAATTTCATGATTAATGTTTCAGGCACATGAATTGTTGAAGCAGAACATTGATAAACAAGGAGGTTCAACTATCATATTTTTTTTTTTTAAAGAATTTCATCTATTGATGTTTTTGCTCTGGGCAGTGATGCAGATATTGGAAATACTGACCTAAGCTCCTTCGTTTCAAGCAGGGGCAGATCCTTCTGGAAGCTCAACTGAAAGCAATGAACTCAAAATTGGAAGGGAAGTAGCTACCAAGGAACCTTCAGAAATGTGTCATGAGTTGAGTGATCCAGTAAGGACATTGCGGATGCCTGATTCTCTGGATGTTAACCAACGAATTGGGAATCTTTTGCAAGGAAGTTTGACTAATGCTTTGTCCGTGGCATCTTTGTTAAGAGAGTTTGTGAGGAAATCCTACTCATACTTGAAAAGCCAAGGCCACCTTTCACTAGTCTTAGCTGTTGCCTTTGCTGTGATATTCCTGATGCAGGTTTGTACTTCCCAGTTAACTTATTACCTTTATTTTAATTCATTGGTTTACTCAAATGTGATTTTGATTATCAATATTGTTGTATCCTTGTAGCTCACATTCCTCTTTCTGTTTTTAACTGCAGGTAAGCATTATTGTGTTATTAAACAGACCACAACACGTTCATGTGAGTTACCCAGTAGAGTATATTAATAGAATGGGTGGTGGTGGAGGCGGAGAAAGGCCAGCTGAAGCTGTGGCCTGGTTGGAGAAGCGGATGCATCACCTTAAAGAAGAGATGGTCATGGTTGAAGCTCGGTTAGAGAGGATGTGGCATGAGCATGCTGCTTTAAAAGCTCAGTTAAAAGAGGTGGGGTATCCAAAGAACCATCGATAACATCCTGTTTGTATAGTTTTTCACAATGAAAAATTTCATGTAAATCACAATCCTAAAAGACGGGAGTTACTCAAATAAGGCATTGGATGATATCTGAATCGTATATTTTACATAATAAAAAAAGCTTCGCAGTAAATAAGCAATCATTTCTTTATCGATTTCGTATTGAATCCACGTTCAGGGAAAAAAAAAAGGATAAGGGTCTAACTATCTAAAATTTAATTACTTATGACAAAAATTCACATTGTAACTATTATTTTTAATTGATTCATAGCTATGGAATGACAAAAAAACTGTGACATGATGGCATTGAACAATCAGATCCTTTTCATGTATACCCCAAACTGTTTAGAGTGATAACATTAATACCACCTAAATATGTACTTAGCAAAATAAATGCGTAATATGAAATAACAAGAAAACACTCCTGAACCGAAAAAGAAACAAGAAAGTTGATGACTTTAGTCTATAAATTATACTTTTATCTTCAATAAAACGAAATGAATATAAAAAATTAAAAAAAAATAATTTGACTGAAAAAAGTGAGCATAGTTTCCATAGGAATTGACACGGTAACTCCTAATCAGTAGCCACTAGCCAAATGCACTTCAGTTTTACGTTGTGATACTCAAACTTACTTTTCACGGCGTCAGATAAACAAAAGTCAAAACTACTCAACTATCATTGAGAGTTTTAATTTTTTAAGATACATTCTAAGAACAAGGTAAGGTAATTGAACATAATTAAAGAGTACTACTCAGTTTGGATAACTCGGCATGCATGCATATTTAATCCAAGAAACACAAGTCAATGTTTATTTCTTCACGGGTCGACCAACTGTTCATTGTCATACTTGCTTTTTTTTTTTTTTAATCAATAGTATTAATAACATGGGTTGTTCACTTCTAATTTGGAATTGCCTTCTCCTTTTGTCCATCAAACTCAAACATTACAATTCTGGCCTGGGGACGGACTTCTTTCTCATTCTCAATTAATGATTTAATAATGGCGTATCCCAAATCCTAAAAAAAATTAGCAATACCCTCCTCCTCCTCTACAATGCCTAATTAATTAATCTTCTCTATGTACAAATTATAATACATACGTTTTTTTGCCTATCCTGAAATCTCTTCCAATACAAAAAAAAAAAACTACAAACTTGCCAGTTTTTCCCGATGGTGTTTACCTAATACTCTCCTGGCCGTTGCCCGAAAAGGACAATTTGAGCTAACAAAACCATTTACCAACTGGAGATATGTGCTTAGTTCGTGACAAGTTGCCACGTTTCCCTTGCTCAGGTGCGGGCACTCCTTGCTACTTAGTCTCAGCTCTTTTCCCACGTCAGCATAAACGAACTGCGTGTCTTCCACGCGCTTTTGAACCCAGCTTGGCAGCCTTGGCACCTTCACAGCCTGCTTGTCTACCATCTCATTGTTGTCAATAACAAATCCGGGTACTTTGGTGATGAGATCATCTGAGTTTACTATACGTAGAATCTTTGTCCCTCTTTTCTCTAGCTGCTGTCTGAAGCTTTGGTTACCGACACGTGGTCCGCCGAATGAGATGACGGTCACCATCGGCGCATTGCTGAAGTTGGAGTTTATATCGTGTGCTGCAAGTGTAGCTAGTGCCGCACCGAGACTGTGGCCAGTGATGGTCAAGCTGAGGGGCTCATCACCGTACATTTTGAGCACTCTTCCGACCTCTTCCCTCACCATGTTCTGCAAGCTAGGACAGGTGGCGGTACCAGAAGTGTACAGGCTCAAGAACCCACTCTCCACCATGGCTCCACTGCCTTTAAGACCCACATTGGCCACTTCATTAGGCAGAGAAGTCAGCGTGGCACGTAGATTCTCAAGCCACTCCAAGCAAGTGGCCGTGCCTCTGAAGGCGATCACCACGTCACGCCTACCAAGCCTGGCGATCTCCTTCTTGTCCTGACAAACTGCCACGTAACCAATCCAGCTGGACTGAGTCGAAACCCAGCTCGGTCCCCTATCAATCCAACCTGGCAGCTGAATCCCACACGTGGCACGCAAGTTCTTGGTCGGTTTATAACCGCCACCTCCAATGCCAGACCGGGTCAGTAGAGAGTTCTTGGGGAACTTACACGTGGCATAAGTGGGTGAAGATGGGTCAAAGTCGAAAGAGCGATACGCTGCTTCGACGAATTGCCCGTATCTTAGAATCTCACTTCTTAGAGTATCATCAAGAGGGTCAAGCAAACCCTCCCAGTTATTAATCCCCTGATACTCCATCCAATTCTTGGCGAGTTTAGCTGAGTTAGAGTCAGTGAAAAGTGAGCTATGTTTTAAAGGAGTCAATGAAAACTTGGCGTTTTCAGTAGTGTTGAACTTCAAAGGATTGCTGGTGGTGGACGGAACAGAGTTATGAGTGAGTTTTGGAATAGTAGGCGAAGTGAATGGCTTGACAGTAACAGCAATTGCGCTAAGCCTCATATTGGACAAAAAGCTTTATATGTTTATTAATTATCTATAAATGTAGCGATCAAGGAGAGGGCTGGTGCTTTGGTTGGCTATTTGCTCTTGGTCAAATGTAGAAAAAAAACAATTGGGGGGGGGGGGGGTTTATAGGAAGAAGGAAGGGCCAGAGAAGAGCGTGGACGAAGATGCATGAATAAAGCACAAAATTTTAGAGGGGTTTTACACTTACTGGGAAGTGAAGGAAAAGGAGTGAAAGTGAAGTGGGTGATGGGAAGTTGAGCAGATTTTTGCTTGTTTGTCTTATAATTGGGTGAAAATTAACAGGAAAAACGGCCGTGGGTCCAGCATAGGTGAGTTTTGATTGTGATGATGATTGGAGGAGATATGGCACATCAAAATTTTAAAAAGGAAAAACAAAGTTTGAAGAAGATTTTGACAGGGCCGCACACGGCACGAATCGGAAAACGACAAATTTTTTGTCTTTCCTACCATAGTAGTTTGTACTCGTGCTGGCACGTGGATATGGCAGAACAATTTATGGTCCCTGTTCTAACACTACTGCTCTATCCTTGGAGGTGCATTTGATTAATTGATACTCGGAACGTACTGGAATAGACTGCGGAGTTGGCCGGTTTATGCTACTTGGTCCATTGGTTGGCAGTGCCGCTATTGATTTGAAAGGTACTAAGGAATCTCAAAGAAGACAAGAGGCTCGGTTTCTGCTCTAAATTCAAAAACACAAGTCTCACTCTTATAGTTAGTTAATTTCAATACAGATATTTCTTGTTAATTAAGGCCATTAGGGCCTATCAGTAGAGGATACGTATGCAGGAGTAATTGGGTATAAAATACAACAGGGACAGTGCTAGAAGGGGCAAGCAAGAATCACGGCTTCTTAAAAATTTTTACATCCTTTTTTTTCTTGCTGCGATAAACTGGTGGTCAAGTGGAGCAATCACTCCTGGACGGTAGATGTTAAAGATTTGTTCCTTTCAACAAGTGTCGTCTCCAAAATTCGAACCTCTACATACTGGTAGGTAAAGCTGGCTTGGGGTCAATCATCTTCTGTTAAGCCAACATCTTATTATATAATGATTAGTTATACTTTAATTATTATTTTAATACTTTCTTATTTTAAAATTATTATTTGATTTATTTTTTATTAATTTTCTATCTTCGACTTTGAATGCAATGAATGAGAAGTAAAAAAGAAAAAGAATACAAAGTATATATCAGACGGATAAAATAAATAAATTGGTGCGGGATGCTATTGGACTATCAGAAACAGCCTTTTAGACTTCTACTCATAATGATGTTGTTTACTTTTGGCTTAACCTTCATCTAAATTTTTAATTTGCTTTACCATAAACCACAATAATGGAAATAGTACATAAAATGCATTGAATTATCTCATATTAAAGTATAAATCGCATCAGAGTAGGTGGCGATACTAAATTCTTCAAAGAAATATTGGCGTAATTTGGCAAAGATTGCCCTTGTCTAATCATGAGTGATAATTTACCTTCAATTCGCATACGCAAAATGATGAGTTTTAATGGCCGTTAAACGTCCGATCATGGCCAAAAAAAATTTCTGATCATTGATCACAGCTGCTTCAATGTACTAACCTCGCTTTTTTTTTTTTTTTTCATATATAATTAATTGATAGGAAGCTATACCTGCCTAATCATCCACTCTATTCGAAATGAAAGGACTTTCGTAAGTACATCGTCATCCTCATCAAAGACACAGAAAAGGGTAAAGCTTATCAGTTATCATTGAATCTTTTCCATTTTAATTGACGCAATTACATGCAAGAAACTGAGTGACCCGTCGGGAGGGGGGAAAAAAAAAACTAGGGTACTCGACTGACGGTCAAAACCGCAAATCAAACTACAACGCTTTCTTATGAAAATAAAAAGGGGACTAATTAATATAATTGAGCAAACAATCAATCTATTAACTATTAACTATAACTCTTCCATTAATAAAGAAATGAAGAAAAAAAACTTTTTGAAGAAACTCGTGTTGTACCCAAAGAAAAGGAAAGAGGAAAGTAATGTAGTAAGGGATAGGGCATATGTTCTGCCTTTTCGTAGCTTTATTCCTTTCCAATATAATTGGTATCTCACCAAAGTATCATGTGATGGTTTGTCTAATGTGGGATGACTTTTTCTCTCCCCTGATCATGGAAATGAAAAAAAAAAAAAAAACCATATCCAATATTGTAGTAGGTTGAATTTGAATGGTGGGTACAATACAATTCCTCTACCACAAAAATTTTGAGGGCCACATTAGTCTATCACTCCCAAAGAATAGTACAGAAATTAATTTGACATTTTTATTTTTTTTTCCTTGCATTTTTATTGTTATATCATTGGCATCGACCAACCTTCTTTGTGAATTTTGATTCATTGACATATTAATGATATATCTACATATTAAATTTAAAAATAAAAAATGCGATGGACCATGGATGGAATATGTGTTTTAATTCCAATATTTTTAATTTATAGAACCCACATCTATGAAAAAAGTTGTGTGATCCATGTGATTTTTTTAATAGCCGAATATTAAACTTTGCTAGCATCAGTCAAATATTTCCGGCCATGAGAGCCTATCCCATAGTGTTAAAGATCACAGAACTTATAATTGGCCCGATCAGGTCAAGAAAAGCAATCATTTTTTCATGACATCTTCTATAAAAGAAAAAGAAAAAGAAAAAGAAAAAGAAAAAGAAGAAGAAGAAAAAGAGAGGTTAGTGCACTGTCATTCTCCTGTATCATCCGTACATTAGGATTTCCTATTGGGTAAAACAAGCGAGTTGAACAGTTCAACCATCAAATTACATAGCACGCAAAAAATGTGGAGCTTGTAGCCATATTTCCATGGATCCGATATTTAGTCTGTTGGCCTTGCCCTTCCCCAATCATCCTAGTCTCCTAGTGCAACATTTGTTTAGCAGGACAAAGGTCACAGATTGACAGAGATTAATGTTAACTTGATCTCTAGCAATATGCTTAATTGAACTGCCAAGCCCAAGCTTCCAGCTGATAGTGTCTGCATTAATGCGTTTGAATGTAGCTGCAAATAAAAGCTGCTGTCCATACAATCTGTCGTTCCTCTCCCTCCAAATTCGATAAATTGTTGCATTAATCCAAGCTATAGGCAAAGGGAGTGCATCTGCAAACAGAAAGTACAAAAATCACAGTTGCTGGCTGAATTATGTTTCTTCAAGATTGGATAGATTAGACGACGCAATTAAGACATTAACATTTAGTTGTTTAAACATATTATGAGGAAAATGAAACCTGGATTCGTTGAACTGGGTCAGGCATGCAGGCAGGCAGGCAGGCAGAGAGACACGTTCATGCATTTGTCTAACAAGTAAGTGATAAGAGAGCTGTCATATAAAAATGTACAATGATTGAAGTCATAAAATTACTAGTAGTAATGCTTTCCTCGCCTTTGATTTCCTTTCTGCTCCTATTGCCGCTACCATCAAATATCAAACAATATAAGAAAACAGAGATCATATGTGCTTGATTTTCCTAGACAATTTATTTCTACTACAACCTTTATTTAAAAAAAAGAAAAATCAACTCTTTGGAGTAAAGATTAAGTGGTTGGCCGGGGCTCTTTTTCCTTTTTTTCGGTTCAATAAAGTGAAGGGGATTCTAAATATAGCATAAATTCTTTGGAAAACAGGGGCGAACCGTGGTTGTATCTTGAGGGTGCCTTGGCCCCCAAAGTTTTGATAACCCTATATATATATATATATATATATATATTGAATTTAAATTGATCCTTTTTAAATTAAAATTATTTATTTTATTTATTTTTCAGAATTATAATTTAAGTTTATCCATTGTAATTTAAGAGGGTTAAAATTATATTGCTGTTTCTCTATTTATTCACTTTGTTCTAAAGTATTTGTCATATATTGATTTTCACGGAATTTAAAAAAATTTGACTTTAATGTATTTAATATTAAGTTTTAATTTTTTTATAAAATTAAAGTTTTATGATTTTTAATGTCACAAAATAAAAAATAATTTCAAAATATAAAAAAAAGAGTTTTAGATGCTAAAAAAAATATAATTTTGAGATAGACAAAAAATATGAAACAGAGAAAATATTATACGTATTAATCACTACTCATAAATTTTTAAAATTAAAAGATTTATCATAAATTTTAAATCACAATTACGTGAATTTAATAAAAATCAAATTAATTTTTTAGCTTTCTTAATAAGACTCCAAATTATCTATATCTTTACTTCATGTTATCTATATTTTTATTTTTACTATTTAACCCAACACGACTAAAAGCTAGACTAGAAGCAGTAAGAGATTGGTTGCCTTTGCAGACCCTTGCAAAAAGAACAAACTTCTTGCTCTCAAAAGAAAAAGGAAAAGAAGAGATATATATATATTTAAAGACAAATAATTATAACAACATTAATCACAATAGAAGAATATCGTTCGGGGCTTGAGCTTTTATATCTCATGTTTTATACCGGTTGTCATAACGTTTAGATCTGAAGATTTATCGTTATACATTGATTTAAGGAGTCGTCATCAATCTTTTTTATTTAAGTGTAATTGGTCACTTAAGGAATCTATCCTTTCGAAAAAATACCTAAATTTAAGGGTCTCTAAAAGAATAGGTTCAGGTCTACTAACCATAACAGGATTCAAGAGTTCAATTACGTGTGAGGAAGGTTATAGCACCCTCACAACGTCCATCGAAAGATAGTACCAACTTAATTTTATATTATCCAATAAACCTTAAAAATTTATCAAGTAATTAGTTATTGAAAATTATTCTCAATTGACTCTAATATTTTTAGTAAAAAATTAAAAAAATCTATCACCTCAAAAGTATGCAAGAAAATTACTGTTTTATTTGCAGAGATTTCATCGTCAGATTATTTAACATTAAAGAAAATAAAAAAGAAGAAAAAAAATGATTACTTTTGTGCAAGAAAAATTGATACTTTTAACTTTTTCTCAAAAATTCACTTTTAAAAACTTGTTTCTAAGAAAAATTGATATTTTTAATTTTTTCTCAAAAATCTATTTTTTAAAACTTATTTTTAAGAAAAATTGATACTTTTAACTTTTCTTCAAAAATATTTTTTAGAAAGCTTATTTTCAAATAAAATTGATACTTTCAATTTTTTTTCAAAAATCTTTTTTGAAAATTTATTTTAAGAAAAATTGATACTTTTAATTTTTCTTAAAAAAAAAAAGTTAAAAAAAAAAAAACTTTTTTTTTTTGACTGACTGTAGATTGTCAAAGGTTGAAGCGATTTCACCACCTGTTACCAAAGCCAGGCGCTCTATCCCATCAAAATCAGCATGCTCAATTGCAAGTATTCCCGCATCAGCGAAGAGTTCTTCAGAGAAATTGTAAATCAACTGCCTGTTAACAAAGCAGTTAATCCCATGTGCTATGATCTTTTGCACCTTTTCTCTCATTTTTTCCTTCTCAGCCCCTTTAATTTCAGCAACCTTAGACATTAAATCAACACGAACACGTGCACCATATATCTTCACTTTATCTGTATCCATTGCAGTATTTGCCACCAAAATCTTAGCATTTTCTATTCGTTTTGATTGTTCAAGCCCTATTTTCTTGTCAAGAATGAATCCTTCATCTAAGAAAGAATCCTTCAAAGATCCTCCAGGCTTCTTGATAATTTGGATGGCCTCTAAATTTGTGCTCCCCTTTAACCTCATAATAGCATCCACAGCTAGTTGTGCAAAATGCTCCTTATCCTGTGAGAGAATTTTGGAACTCAGAGTGGTCATTGTAATTTTCATCAAGTCTGACTTGAAGTTCTCTGCATTCCCTTTGTTATCTACATCCCTCTGCAACAAAGCATTACGAGCACACTCGGCTGTCATTCGATAACCTGATATTATGGTCATGGGGTGAATCTTAGCAGCCACTAGCTTTTCTGCCTCCCTTAAAAGCTCTCCAGCCAAAACAACAACAGAAGCTGTCCCATCACCAACTTCATCATCTTGAATTTTTGAAATGTCGATCAAGACTTTTGCAGCTGGGTTGTCAATAGGCAGGGACTTTAAGATGGTAGCTCCATCATTTGTAACAGTGACTTCACGTCCTCTGCCGGTTGATTGTAAAATTTTATCCATTCCCTTTGGCCCGAGGGTTGTCTTAACCAAGATAGTAATTGCAATTGCCCCAACAAATAATGCCATTCTGGCCATTTCCTTATTCTCCTCACTAGCATCGTCTTTAAGAATTTTTTCAATCGCCATGGAAAATAACGAGGACGAGAGTAGCTCGAGCCTTGATACTCAAAAGAAACCCTGATGCATGATGTAGGTGGGATTTGTGATTCGGATCCTGCCGAGAACAGAAAATGGACACAGAGTTTTGCCTCTATTTTCTGTGTTTCTCCGATCGTTCTCGCATTCTGTTGCAGTCCTTCCTGCTCCGATCACCAAATAACGGTAGAACAGCTAGCCAGTGACCACTGCTTAACCGACCTTGTGAGGTTTAACCTTCATCACGTCAGAGTCTTGCTTATTAAACCCAATGGCAGGACAGTTGAAATATTATCTTCTAACATAGCACCAAGATCCTCAGAATCGGATGTAAAATCTGAACTTAAACTTTTCGGCTTAACCACATTATCATGATCTGGACCATTAGGATCATAATCATCATCCTTTGGATCATCAGACCGAAGCTCCAATTGACTTTCTAATGATTCAAAGGGCTCCTCTGTGCAGCTAATGCAAACTAAATAAATTGGTCCTTTCACAAAAAAGACTACCTGGTGTTTCCCAGCCTTCACCAATTTGACACGATCTCCCCCATTCTCCACGAAGGAAATAATGGCTTGAAGTGTTGCTGAAAAACCAGCTAGCTTGTGTTCATCACCACATCTGGAATTTACTGGTTTGCCAGAATTACTTAAAATAAAGAAGTGCTTCTTCCGCTTCCTCCATGATATCGAAGCATCATCCTCATCGACGTGGCATTGTGGTGCCAGGGCTAGGAGAAAATCAGAAATATTGGGCAGACCCAAAGTCTCTATTATTTATGAGATGACATGCCTGAACTTGGTGCCAAGGCTGGGAGAAAATCAGAAATATTGGGCAGACCCAAAGTCTCTATTATTTCTGAGATGACGTACCTGAACTTGGTGCCAAGGCCATCCCTCTCAACGTGCCACCCCATAACATATTGATAATCACAACCCCATAACATATTGATAATCACATTCAATATCATTAAAAAAAAAATTTGCTCACTGACATTGACAGGCGATCCAGCCTTGCTGTATATATAGTTTCTCGTACTTCTTTACGGATAAGCATATATACTTTGTCCAAAGTGACGTTGCTAAGTATCTTGAGTACACGTACATTTCTTAACATCCTGCACTCAGGACCATAGGGGTTCCAAGCTATGTCACATCTGCCGTTTCCTCAGAGGGCAGTCACAGGCACGTCACGATTGGCAAATGCCATATCTTGGTCTTTAAGTACTTCTCGGGTCATGGATGGGGAGGTTACCCACCAAAGAGAGGCCTTGAGGGCCTAGTGGCGATGGGGCTTCCCCTTTTGTATTTGCTTCTCCTCCCTTCAGCTTGTGAATCACAATGATTTATAAAATCATACTGATAAAGTTTCAGTTCAATTTCAATTAATCATCCAATGTTAAATATTAACATCTAATTATGTTTTTTGATCATCATCAAGCTTAATCTCAATCTTTTTTTTTTTTTAAAATAATCAAATAATGAAGATAAAAAAAAACAATAAGTAGACCATAAGATAAAAATTAAAAAATGATAAATATAAAATAAAAATTTGAAATAAAAATGAATAAATATTTTTACAATTAAGTTTGAACTGGTTTTAATTGACAAAAAATCCCAGACCAAATGGAGTGTCTACACCGGTGGTATGGCCAATCTCAAAATTTATCCCCACTTTTTTTTTTTCAATTATCTTCTTTACTATTTCTGTATACAATTTGTTCCGTAAGAAACAAGGATAGTAGTTTGAAAAATGAAACTATGTTTTTCTTTTTTTTTTTTGGTCTCGACAGAGACTTATAACCCAAAATACATGTTGAAACTTGGCCCAAATTTTCAGAATCCATATTTTTCTTGGGTTTAATTAACGGCCCTACATGCAGCCCAGGTTCATGCATATTCGGTAAAGGATGTGAGTACCAACTACTAAGCCGAATCCTATTTCCTAAAAATCTTTTAGGTGTGTTTGATTGTTTAAAAGTTTCTCTTCGACCATTTTCTTATAACATCACTTTGCCATATAGTGTTCCAAAGGATTAAAAGAAAACTTTAAAAAAGGCAACTTTCCGCTTACCTAATTTCTTGAAGAAGGCAGATATCAATCATCTTACTTGAGGCATGGAATGATTGTATTTACTTGATATAGAGAAAAAAGAACCAAAGATGTTCAAGCAAGTGGAAGAAACGCCAGAGCAAGTGATAGAGAGAATAAATTTAGCTATAAACAGATTGCATAGGCTAATACAGATGATTGCGGGAGATGCTGTTAACAAACAATTATGTGATGCTTGAAATTTAAACCGTCTAGCATAGGCTGCTAACTTCTTGTATACATAGAAAATTAGTTGTATTGTAGCAGAATTCTGCTGACTTGAATAAATATAATTACAAATTATCCAAAAAAATGTCTTGGAGAAGGCAGGAGTTGAGACAAAGATTAATTGGATGAATCAATATTCTACCAAAAGGAATTCAACAGATATAGAGAGCCCATTTTTTGCTACAAAAACGCATATATGGTAGTCGAACTGAGCTTGAATGTGAAGAAATGAGACTTACTCTTTATGTTATGCGAATTAAAACAGACAAAAATTGTCCAAGCAACAAAATTAAGAGGTTCGATCACAAAATCTGCAGGCCTAAGAATCGCCATGTTGTCTCCAGTTGCCACCCAGCATCCACTTGCCAAAAAGACAAAACAAGTATCATATAAAGAAAGCAACACTTAAAGCGGTTAACAAGGCATGTCTTTTCGTTAACTCAAACGTTCTGTAGGCATAGTTAATATTATTTCTTGTTTTTTTTTTTCCACAAATATGCAAATTAAAATAAAATAGTTGTCAATCATATTTTAAGTTTTTGTAACATGCAAAAGATGGGAACGTGGAGTCAGTAAAGCATAGTTAAAATGTAGCAACGTGTCAATGGATGTGATCCTTGGGTGGCGATCAAACGGACAAAGACCCAGATGCAGAAAAGGTTAAGACATGTTTGGCTGCAGGCAGCCGCAATCACCCACTTGAAACGGTGGCCGCCTATTTAAAATAACACTAATATTATTCATGTACTTTTTCGTAAAGCAGATCTACCTTACTCTCATTTGTTTCAGGAAACCCTAGCCTAAGCCGCAGGGGCAAAAAAAGTAAGCAAAGTTAGGGCATGGTGGTATGCACTTCCGAACTCATACTTGTAGTAATTAATATCTCATGATCAATTTCTTCATCAATTTTGTGAATTGTGATTGCATTTCCTTTGCGTATTGAGTAATTAATGTGAAGGGAACACATGGGTTTTTTATAAAATTTGTTAGGGCTGAGGATTGGTATTTTGAAGAGCAAAAACCCTGAACCAAAGCGTACTTCGTGCAACATGGGGCTGGTGGGTTAACGTCAGATGGTTCCCACAGGTCAGTTCTCAGTTTACGATGCTTTTTTGCAAATGAGGAGCGTGAGCATGAATATTTAACGGATATGACGATACTATAGGTTGCCTTTTTGTGTTTCTTGGGATTTTTTTTCTCTTATTTTATGATATTTGTTAGAAAGAATGTAGATTTTGAGGAATTAAAGTAGATAAAGCAGACAAGGACATAATTAAGCTAATATATCATGCAAAATAACCAAACCAACTGTTGAACAAATGAAACTTTGTTAATAGTTTTAATTTGTTCTCTTGCTGAGCCTATCTCGTCTGTCTCTTTCTCTCACCACCTGAACTTATCTCTCTCTCTCTCTCTCTCTATATATATATATATATAATAGATATTTATTTCTAGCAGTAAGTTTCTCCACCATAAGCGATGCGCCCCCCATAGCGGCCCATTGCGAGTAGTAGCAAGCACATGCAAATGTTGGCGCTTTGACAAGGTTCAGGAACAGGACCGCCATAACTATCCTTTTTAAGCACGTAGCACGATGTAAGACAAAGAACAAACCAAAAAGGGATGAGACTGTTTTAATTCAAGAGATTAATGAAAGTAGAGTGAAAGATACAAGATAAATTAATACTTTGTTTATCAACTTTTGATGAACTTTTCTCTTCCCTTTTTCTTTCCATTTGTAAAACATCCTTTTTCCCTTCATCTCACTTCTTTTATTTCCTCTTATTCAAGTATATCGCCAAAATGCTATCCAGCCTTTTCAATCATTCTTTTACATGAGCTAGCAAGTAACAGCGATTCTCAACTAATCAAGCAATCAAATCACAGTTATATACATAGAAATCTCGTTCCATTTCTCTCCCTGTATCCTTCTCATGATCTGTATGTTTTGTCAAAAGAGAGCAGTGATGAGGTCCCATAATGCCAACCGTTTTGCTTTCTTTCCTGCACCTCTGTGTGAGTATCCCCCCCCCCCCCCTTTCCAGCTCACAATAATCTTAAGCTTCGTTAATTTGGAGTAATATTGTTTTTTCTTTAATCAGATTTAGTATCTCTTTGAACTTTGAATGGGTCGATTGAATATTCATGGGCAGGATTTCTTCAAGGATCCAACTTGTTCGCGAATTCTTTTCTATCTTCTTCCAAAAGTGAGGATAGAGGGCAAAAATGATCAAAAAGATATCATCTTGCCAGCACTTTTCTCCAATCTTTAATTAGAATAATAATAATAACTGAATGATTGAAAATATTTAAGTACAAAATCATCTGCTTTGCAATTTGCATGCATCGCTAGCTCGAAGATTCTTTGCCTTAAGTAGTTGACTTCTTAATCCTATTGAAAAATTAATATGTACGCGCAGCAACCACGAACAAAATAATAAGCTCAAATTAAAAATAAGAATACATAACAAAATAGCAAGCTCAAATTAAAAATAAGAATACATAAATATATTTGTTTCGATCCAACTCAAAATGATATGTTTAAAACCTAATCCACTAACAAATAAATCTTTATAATTATGAGACTTTTGGAATGAAAAAAATCACAAAAAACTCTTTACTCAAAATTTAACCCAAAACTCAATTACACTATTTTAATAGCCTATTCACTTAACTATTCTCTTGGTATTTAACTATACGAGATTATTAAACTAAAATCAAAATATCTTATTTAAAAGGGTTAAACCCCTTATAACTTTACTAAACTTCTAATGTGA